AAAAAAAAAAAAAACAGCTGCAAAGCATATAGAAAACAAATAGAAAAATAGAGGAATACATCCCTCCTTATCAGCAACTACTTCAAAGGTAAATGGGTTAAACTGTCCAACAAAAAGACAGAGATTGGCAGAATGGATTTACAGAAAAAAAAAAAAGGTGAGGATCGCTTGGGTGATGCAGTCAGTTAAGCATCTGACACTTGATCTTGGCTCAGGTCATGATCTTACAGTTTGTGAATTCAAGTCCTGTATCGGTCTCTGCACTGATGGTGCAGAGCCTGCTTGCGATTCTGTCTTCTCTGCCCCTCCCCTGCTTGTTCTCTCTCTCGCTCTCTCACACACACACACAATACATACATACATACATACATACATACAAATAAAATCAAGGTGCGACTATATACTACTTACAAGAGACTCAGTTTAGATCCAAAGACACAAGTAGATTAATAGTGAAAAGAGGGGAAGATCTATTCTATGTATATAGTAATTGAAAGAGAGCTGAGCTTGCTACCCTAATATTAGACAATGTAGGCCTTCAGTAAAAAAAGGTTACATAGGGAAATGAAGGATGTTATATATTAATAAATATTCCATACAGCAAGAAGACAAAGAATTAAAAACATCTATGAATGGAGGAGGGCACTTTGGGGATGAGCACTGAGTGTTATGTAGAAACTAATTTGACAATAAACTATTTGTAAAAAAAAATAATAATAAAAAAATAAAAACAAAACAAAACAAAACAAAAACATCTATGAATGTTATGCCCACCCCAGACCAGTCTGCAAGGGCAGGTAATGCTTCCCTATGCAACTCTTAAAAAGACACTGTTATTTCCCATTAGTGTGGGGGAAAGGGCTGGGAGGGCTTTAGAGTCACATCAGTTCCTAACAGTTTATGCATTTATGCTAAGTCTTCCAACTTGGAAGACTCTTCTGTGCATTTCCAGGCCCATAGGTCCAGCTACCCACTCCCCCTCTCCATTCAGACACCTTGAGCTCATCTTAAAGATGCTCAACATTTTCAAAATGAACGTCATCCCCCAAACTCCCCAGGGCCTCCTCCAGATGTCCCCAGTTCCATGGCTGGCACTACCAATGACCCCACTCATTGCTCAAGCCAGGACCTGGAGCCTTCCACTCTCTTTTTTGCTCTCATTTTCCAAATCCAAGGCTGCAACAAGCTCTGTGGATTTTTCTCCTAAACGTCTCTTGAAATCCTTCCATCCAGTCTCCCCTGTGACCTGGGTGATCCTTCCAGCCTGCAGACAGGATCCTCAGTCTGTCTCAATAATGCTGTAAGACCAGCCTCCCTTCCAGGACCCTGCTCACCATGCCAGCTGCTTCTTGCTCTTCCCTCCCCTCACTTTCAGAGCCCAGAGAGCTGGCTGGGTATTTTTGGCTCCCCAGGGGCCGAGCTCTGTCACGGAGCTGCCACAGGCCTGCTGTGCCCGTAGTGCTGCTGACCCAATCGCACGCCCTCGGAACCTTCCAGACCCGAGTCTGGGCCAGGGTGCTGAGTGCTACGCTCCCCTATGAATGTGGTTCTTTCCTTCAGGCCACCAGCCTCATAGTGTAATGACATATCCTCACTGAGATAGTGTCTGGTGCTTGCCCCTGTCACATGGGACCCCTGGACGCAGACCCTGGGGTCTGCTTAATGTTATACTGTGGCCCCTATTGGATAGATGTTCTGTAAACATCGAGAGTGAGAAGGCGGGAAGCTAGAAGGCCCTGGCAGGAAGCGCTGATGGAGTGAGGGGTGAACAGGTAAGCTGGCCACAGTGCAGTTCCTGGGCAGGAGAGAGGAGCTAGGTGTGGGAACAGGTCCCTGGGGACCTTGGTTAGGGTTAGGTGAACCCGTGGTTGCTCAGATGGCTCAGAGAGGCCTGAGTCCTCGTACCAAGGGCTTTATCTGCAGGCAGCGCCGTACTGGAGGGAGCATGCGTGTGGCGTGGGCAGCTGCAGATGGAGGAGGGCTGTGTGGAAGAAGGGTGTGAGTCACAGACCGGAAAGAACCCAGCACATTGGCACATTCTGGGTGTTCTCCAGCAGGCCTGGGCCAACTCACTGCGTCACGAAGATGTTCTGGGAGATGGAGTGACCACCTGGTTAGTGCCAGAGCCCACGCTGAGATGCACTGTTGTCTCCAGGCGCTTCCCTCACATCCCATGTCATGGGTAAGATGGGTCGGGTGAGGAAAGGACCCCTCTCCCCCGCCTCGCCCTCCCCTCCTTCTTCAGCCAGACCTGCTGAGGTGGGTTCTGCCAACCCTCTCCCTTCACTCGGAGATTTCAGGTTTGAGCAGCGAGGGCTTCTGGCCCCATCCCAATGATACCCAGGTCCCTCCTGTGTTTGTTTCTGTGCTGCTGCAGTAGGTACCCGGCATACTGACTAAACCAATGGAGTTTATCCTCACAGGGAATAAATACAGAGTCTGAACTCAGTATCACTGGGCTGCAGTCAACGTGCTGGCAGGAAACTCTAGGGGAGGATCTGTTCTGTGCCTTCTCCAGCTTCTGGTGGCTGCCAGTGCCCCTTGGGGTGTGGCCACGCCAATCTGCAAGGCGAGAATCTCCAAATCTCCCCCAGCTCCACCTTCACTTCTCCTGTGTGTCGGGGTCCACCTAGGGAATCCAAGATAGTAACCCCATCTCAAAACCTTAACTTAATCACACTCTCAAAGCTGCTGCCTCTTTTTGGAGCCATAGAAGGTATTACTCTGAGTTTCCAGGGATTAGGACATGGTGATCTTTTGGAGGGCTGTTATTTGGCCTTCCAAACCTGCTTTGTTTGTTTGTATTCTCTGTTGCAAGAATCACCATTGGAAACAGGGATAGTGTTTTCTGTGTATGTGACTGGAATCACCTCCGTGGGGGCAGGAACCTTGTCTGTCTTGTTCACTATGTCTCTACTGACAGAGCACCCACACATAGTAGGTGCTCAGCAGATACTAGTTGAAAAAATACTAGTTGAAAATATAGACTACAACACCATTGAGTGTATAATGAAAATTCAATGTGGGTCTACAATGAAATGCAGAAAGCAGCACCTCTTCTGTGTGCCACAAATATGCAGGGTCTGTTTGAGGAAAAGTATACAAGTGAACCTCAATATTTGTGAAATGCACGTGAATAAATGGAAAGACACTCAAGGTGTCTGAATCAGCAAAGATACAATATTATAAAATATCAAGTTTTTGTGTGTAATTAAAAATCTCAAAGGAATTTCTTCAGGAAAGTTTCACATGGGGGAATAAGTGCAGAGATGAGATTAGATTGTCAGGAAAAGGAGTAGTGGGTATAGAGCTTACACCACCTGTTAAAACATGTAGTAAGCCTATAATAAACAAAATAGTAGCGTGCATTCTTTTCACAGAAAATTCATAAGAAAAATTAATGGAAGTACATATAAACTTATGATGAAGGTTAACATTATAGATCAGAAGTTTAAGAAAGGAGTGCTTAATGGATGTCTTGAAACATTAAGTAATTCTCTGGGGAAACATAGAAACAAGTGAGACTCACCTCCTGCCCTAGTTAATGAGGCAGTGAAGGTATAGCATCTGGGTTCAGATCTCTGCCCCAGGACTTACTCTCGGAGCACCCTTGTACAGACCACTCATGTCTCAAGTCATAGTTGTCATTCCTAGTAATAGGGACAAGACTCAGTACATTCCAAGGTAGACTTGGGAGATGGCAGCTGACTTGGGGAGCGGAAGTGGTGTTTAGGGGAGAAGGCACCGTATAATTAAGTATAGGTACTGTCAGCAAGTTTTGCCTCGGGAGGCAGATTAGAGGTGAGATGTGTTTTACATTATTGAAAATATGTACATACGTGCAGAAATATGTCTGCCATGCATGGACCCATCATGGGATTGCACCATGAATGGAGTATGATTTATTCAATTCTGAGCAACATGTATACAACCACCGTGGAAAACTCCTTGCAAGTGTCGTAAACATTTAAACATACCCACACTTACTATCCACGAAAAATCTTGCACAGAAATGTTTACAGCAGCTCCACCCTTACCACCCAAAACTGTAAAGGCCTCCACTGCCCATCACTAGCAAATGAGGGACAGTTGCAGTATATCAATATATCTGAACAATGGAGTGACCCAAACATCGACCTTTTTCAGCCTGAGAAATCTCTCTGCTTTGAAAGGCTCCTAAGATCCGATTGGACCCATCCAAATAATTCGGGAAAACATCTCCATCTGAAGGTCCATAACCTTACTTAACAGCTGCAAGATCGCTGTTGCCACGCACCACAGAATACTGGCAGGTTCTAGGGGATGAGGGCATGGACATCTCTGGGCGAAGGGACCTTATTCTGTTTATCAGCTGCGCTGTGGTTAAGTCCACACGGCACGGCTGGGCAGCCAGCCAAGCACAGGGCTCTGCACTGGGAGGAGCTCACAAAGGGGCAAGGTATGGCTTGTGGATGAAAGACAGATCTGCTCTTGGAATGAGAAAAGCTGCATTATACAAAACTTGTGCCAAATTAGTCAAAAGTAGCCAACTTTTTTTATTCTCGGCATTCAAGAGTCTGATGGGTGGAGTAAGGGGGGGATGGGCATGGAGGAGGGCACTTGTGGGGATGAGCACTGGGTGTTATATGGAAACCAATTTGACAATAAACGATTTAAAAAAATAAAAATAATTTTAAAGAGTAGTCAACTTTTACCTTGATATGATTTTTCCTTCTTTCTTTCCATTATTCTTTTTCTCCCTCTCTCCCTCCATCTTTCTCTCATCTGTCAGGAAGTTTTAGTTCATGATAATCAATCACCACTGTATCCATCCATACTTTCAGCATTTCCACAGAGCACCTCTGATTATCACTAAACTTCCATAATCAATTTACGTCCTTGGAAAGGTGTTTGTTGATTGATAATTGAACTGATCTTCTCAATCCATTTTTTAAACACATGCCAAGGGTGACACACAGGGAAGCAGGTGACCCTGGAAATAGGCTTCTTCGAGGAAGGCTTGTTCATGTCAAGGGGCTTCCTACAAATGTGTGAGTGTAGGGAACACACTCAAGCCACTGTGTGGTGGACACAGTCATGTGCCCAGAGATGTCCACATCCTAGCTCCAGACTCCCTCCTGTGAGTCTGTTCCCTCACATGTGGCCCAAGGGGCTTTGTAGATGTGGTTAAGGAGAGAAATTGAGGGAAGAGTATCAGGCTTACCCAGGTGGGCCTGATTAACTCACAGGGTCCTTACGGGAGAGAGGCAGCTGGGCCAGAGGAGGAGATGGGATTTCACACAAGCAGGGATGGGAGAAAAGAGAAGGTGCTGTGTTGCTGGCTTGAAGACAGAAGGAGGGGCTGCAGACAAGGAATGCAGGGGCCTCTAGATTCAAGGCAGGCAGGTAGATCCTGCTGCTGGAAAGGGCAGGAGGAGCCCCAGAGAGTGTCTGACACCCTCTTTACACCTAGACTGTAGCTCATGGAGACTGATTTTAGAAATGGAAACTGATGGGGAGCCTGGGTGGCTCAGGTGGCCTCGGTTAAGCATCCGACTTCGGCTCAGGTGAAGATCTCACGGTTTGTGGGTTCGAGCCTCACGTCGGGCTCTGTGCTGACAGCTAGCTCAGAGCCTGGAGACTGTTTCAGATTCTGTGTCTCCCTCTCTCTCTCTGACCCACCCCTGCTCACGCTGTCTCTCTCTCTCTCAGAAATAAATAAAACATTAAAAAAATAAAACATTAAAAAAAGAAGAAGAAATGGAAACTGATTCTGAGGTTTATATAGGAAGTCAAGGAACTGGAGTGGCCAAAGAATTTTCAAAATAAGGAGTTATGCTACCTGACTTGAAGATTTGAAACTCGTTGAAAGGTAACAAATTTGTGCTAAAGTACCAATTTATAGCTTGTTACAGCAGCAACATGACACTAATACAGGCATGAGCCTGGAGATAGTGGCAGCCCAGCCATTACGCCTCCTGGCCCGAAGGGACACAGGAAAGGTTTGGTGGAGGGACCCGGGGAAGACACTATGTACTTGGCCCTGAAGAGGAACGTGGCCAGAAGCTGAGGACAGAGCCAGCTCAAGGTGACGTTGTCAAGAAGGAGCCATGAGATAATTGCCCTTAGTCACATTGCATCCCTCAGTCTCATCCCAGCTTCTCCAGCAACTGACCACAGAGAAAGTAGGAAGGAAGGGACATCCTGGAGGCCAACACTTCACAGCTTCTGCTGGTGGCTCTGGCCTCCCACCTGAGTCCTGGGCCCAGACGGAAAGTGCACAAAAGAGCCACCTGACCCCCGACCAGGTAGTCTGTGACTCTGTGTCTCTGCCAGTACAGAGGTCCCTGCCCTCTGATTTTCAGCCCACTCCTACACCATAATCCCACTAACATCCTGGAGAGCCCATGTCTCTCCCAGGACGGCGTCACCTGGGGCAGCACAGGGTCTCTGCCCCACCGGGACCCGCTGAACCGGCATCTGATTGTAACGAGGTGTCCAAGTGACTGCCACGCTGCTGAAGTTCAGAGAGCCTTGTAGGCCACACCCCCAGCTGGACATTCTGCCACCACCGCAGGTAGCACCTGCCCTCCATGCCTGCCTGCTAGTGCAGGTCACCATTGCTTGTTTATGCGTTCTCTGTTGTCTGACCTGCCCCTGCCCAGAAGGTCAGCTCAGAGGGTCCTCAGGCCCCTCGGGGCTGTTTGTTCCCGCGCTGCCTCCCAAGCCCCTAAGCAGTGCCGAACACATCGGAAAAGCTCAAGGAAGAATTTGAGAGAAATGCGTGTGAACGAAGGCAGCGAAGCACACGCACGGGTTGGTGGAACCGAGTCACGTGTCCTGCTGATTGTCCCTCCGTGAGTCCTGGGCCCCGCGTGGCCCGCTCTGTCCCAGGGGGCTGTGTCCCGTGGGCTGCACAGCCGAGCCCCTGACCGCCCGGTGCTCCAGCAGTGACTGGACAGGCACAGGGAGAGCAGGGGGGCAGGTTCCCAGGGCCTGGACAGCTCCTCTCTGGCTCAGGGGACACCTATTCCCCGGCCTCCGTACAGGCCCAGGGTGGGAGAGGTGCCCCCACTGCCAGCGTGTAGGGGCCTCGGCACCCCTTGTCCCACGTTCCCTCCCGTCTGCTCCCGTCTGCACCCTGCTGCCCTTTGTGTGCGTGTGTAGGGATCTTCGGGGTGTGTACAAATGGTGTGCGTGAGATGTGTCCTTTTCCACATGGCGAACCTGAGATGTGTCAAGACAGAGCTGTCTTGGGGCACCTGACTGGCTCAGTGGGTTAAGCGTCCAACTTTGGCTCAGGTCTTGATCTCATAGTTTGTGGGTTCCAGCCCTGCCTCAGGCTCTGTGCTGACAGCCCAGAACCTGGACCCTGTTTCAGATTCTGTGTCTTTCTCTCCCTCCCACCTCCTTAGCATGCTGTCTTTCTCTCTCTCCCAAAAATACACATTAAAGAAAAAGACCAAGAGCTCTGTCTGTTTCCACTTTTCCTCAGATACTGACATAGCGACTACAGAGCTCTGTGTGCACTGTGCTTGTGCGTCTGTGCGTGTTTGTCATTAAAGGAAAATGTTTCCTTGCATTAAGTTTAGGTATGATGAAACAAAGAACATCTTTTAAGACAACATGATGTAAAAACATAGAAGGGGCTTGTAAACTATCAACTCCCCTAAATGAATCTGTGAACGGAAGCACTACACCAGTCACAACATGAAGTTGGGATGGAGTGGTTTTCTTGCTTATGGATCTTTTCTTGTGTGTCTTTTCAAATATCAAAATTCGGTGAGTTATGTTTATGTATAGACTGGTAATAATAGCAAGATGAAGTTTGCTGTACGTGTCCCCTTCCATGTCGCATGTCCCGGATGGTCCCAGCACTTATATTGTGCAGCTCCAGGGGTCACAAGACCTGGCAATAACGTAGTCACATGAGCGATGTTGACCAGGAGCACCTGGGTGGCACAGTCGGTTAAACTTTCGACTTTGGCTCTGGTCTTAATCTTGAACTCCATGAGTTCAAGCCCTGCCTTGGGCTGTGTGCTGACAGTTCTGAGCCTGGAGGCCACTTTGGGTTCTGTGTCTCTCTCTCTCTGCCCCTCCCCCACTCATTCTCTCTCCCTCTCTCCCTCTTAAAAATAAAAATTTAAAAAAAGTCAGACTCTTAACCGTCTGAGCCACCTACCTGTCCCTATCATGACACTGTTCTTAACAGAAGTTTTAGGTTAAAGGGAAAGTGAGTGGGAAGTACAGAGTGTTCCCACCTACACTTTGCTTCCTCACGCATTAGGATACCATCTTGCATGAGTGTTATATCCCTTACAATTGATAGATCAGTATTGATACATTATTATCAGCTAATGTTCATACTGTCCATTATGGATCACACAACGTGTTTATCCACCATGACAGAGCCATAGGGAATAGTTTTACTGCCCAGAACAATCCCCGTGCTGCACTGCTTCTGCCCTGGCTCTGTCTCTTGAACACTAACCCCCTTCATCCCTCCCATCCCCGCCCGCCCCGCCCCCTCACCCCCCTCTCCTTGTCTCCTTGTGCAGGAGATGACTGTCTTATTATGGGTTTGACTTGCATTTGCTTGATGTTGAGCGATGCTAAGTCTCTTTTCATGAGTCTGTTGGCCATCTGGATGTCTTTTTGGAGAAAAGTTCTGTTCATGTCTTCTGCCCATATTTTTAATTGGACTAGTTTTGTTGTTTTTTATTTGTACAAGTTCATCATATATTTTGGATATTAACTCATTATCAGATATATATTATTTGCAAATATCTTTGCCCAGTCAGTAAGAGTGGCTTTTTCATCTTGGTGATGTTTTCCTTTGCTGTGCAAAAGACTTTGTTTGATGTAGTCTGACTTTTTAATTTTTTCTTTAGTTTCATTTGTCTGAGGAGGCATAGCCAGAAAAATGTTGGTAAGTTGATGCCTATAATATTAATGCCTATGTTTTATTTTAGTTTTATAATTTCAAGTCTCACATTTAGGCCTTTCATCCATTTTGAGTTAAAGTTTGTATATGGTATAAAAACTTAGTCCAGATTTACCTTTGAATGTAGCTGTCCAGTTTTCCCAGCACTGTTTATTAAAGGGACTGCCTTTCTCTGTTGTATACTTTTAACTGACCATGTACATATGGGTTTATTTCTGGGCTCTTTATTCTGTTCTATTGATCTATGTGTCTATTGTTGTGCCAGTACCATAATGTTTCAATCACTACAGCTATGTAATATATCTTGACATCTGGCATTGTGATACCTTCAACTTTCTTATTATTTTTCAAGACTGTGTTGGCTATCTGGGGTCTTTTTGGTTCAACACAAATTTCAAGATAATTTGTACTAGTTCTGTGAAAAATATTATTGGTATTTTGATAGGGATTGTATTGAATCTATAGATTGCTTTTGGGTAGTATGGACATTTTGACAATATTAATTCTTCCTATCCATGAGCACAGTATATCTTTCCATTTGTGCCATTTTCAGTTACTTTTATCAGTGTTGTATAGTTTCCAGTGTGCAGGTCTTCATCTTCTTGGTTAAATTCATTCCTCGGTATTTTGTTCATATTGATGTAATTGTCAGAGAGATTGGTTTCTTATTTCCTCTTTCTGCTGCTTCATTATTAGTGTATAGACATGCAACAGATTTCTATATATTAATTTTGTATCCTGCAAATGTACTGAATTTATTTATTAGTTTTAAGAGGTTTTTTTTTTTTTTGTGGAGTCTTAGAGTTTTCTCTATGTAGTATCATGTCATCTGAAAATAGTGATATTTCTACTTCTTTCTTACCAGTTTGGATGCCTTTTCTTTCTTTTTGTTGTCTGATTGCTGTGGCTAGGACTTCCAGTACTATGTTGAATAAAAGTAGTGAGAGCAGACATCCTGGTCCTATTCCTGACCTTAGAGGAAAAGCTCTCAGTTTTTTACCATTGAGTATGATGTTACCCGTGAGTTTCTCATATATGACCTTTATTAAGTTATTAGGTATGCTCCCTCTAAATCCACTTTGTTGAAAGTTTTTGTCATGAACAGATGTTGAATTTTGTCAAATGCTTTTTCTGAATTTATTGAGATCAAATGGTTTTCATCCTGAATTTTGTTAATATGGTGTATCACATTGATTGATTTGTGGATATTGAATCATTTTTATATCCCAGAAATAAATCCCACTTGATCATTGTCAATGAGCCTTTTAATTGTATTAGTAAAATCATTTTGCTAATGATTTGTTGAGGATTTTATATTTATGTTCATTAGGGATATTGGCCTTTAGTTTTCTTTTTTTGTAATGTCTTTATCTGTTTTTTGTATTGGGTAATGTTAGCCTTATAGAATGAATTTGTAAGATTTCCTTCTTATTCTATTTTTTTGAATAGTTTGAGAAGGGTTGGTATTAACTCTTCTTTAAATATTTGGTAGAGTTCTCTTGTGAAGCCATTTGGTCCTGGAGTTTTGTTTGTTGGGAGTTTTTTGATTACTGACCCAATTTTTTTTTTACTAGTAATATGTTCAAATTTTCTATTTCTTTTAAATTTATTCTTGTAAGATTGTATGCTTCTGGGAATTTATCCATTTCTTCTAGATTGTCTAATTTGTTGGCATATAATTTTTCATAGCAGTCTCTTATCATTCTTAATTTTTTCTTGGTATCATTTGTTACTACTCTTTCAGTTATTTTAAGTTTATTTAGTTATTTTGAGGAGGAGGGGCATAGAGAGAGGGAGAGGGAAAATCTCAAGCAGTTTCTGTGCAGAGCCCAACATGGCTCGATCCCAGGAACCATGAGATTATGACCTGAGACAAAATCATGAGTCAGATGCTTAACTGACTGAGCCCTCCAGTTTCCCCCCTACTCTTTTGTCTCTAATTTTATTTATCTATATCATCTCTCTTTTTTACTTGGTGAGTCTGTTGGTTCTTGGTTTGTCAATGTTGTTGATCTTTTCAAAGCACCAGCTGCTAGTTTCACTGATCTCTTCTATTTTTTTGTCTCTATTTCATTCATTTCCCCTTTGATCTTTATTATTTTCTTCTTTCTACTAACTTTGGGCTTTGTTTGTTGTTATTGTTGTTTTTCTTGTTTGTTACTTTAGGTGTAGAATAAGATTATTTTTGAGGTTTTTCTTATTTCAAGGTAAGCCTGTTTTGCTATTACTTTCCCTCTTAAAAGTGCTAAGTGCTATTGCTGTGTCTCAAAGATGTTTAACTATTTAATTTTCATTTTCTACCAGGTATTTTTTAATTTCTTTTATGTATTACTTATTGATCCATCGATCGTTTAGTAGCATGTTATATAGTCTCTATGTATTTGTGTTCTTTACAGATTATTCTTTGGTAATTGATTTGTAGTTTAATTCCATTGGTCAGAAAAGACACATGATATAATTTCAATCTCTTTTAATTTATTGAGACTTGTTTTGTGGTATAACATGTAATTTGTTTTGGAGAATGTTCCACATGCACTTGCAAAGAATGTGTATTCTGCTGTTTTGAGATCGAGTTTTCTGAATATATCTGTTAGGTCTATCTGTTCTAATATGTCATTCAAAGCCCCTGATTCCTTGTTGATTTCCTATTTTGATGATCTATCCACTGATGTTGGTGGGTATTAAAGTCTGCTACTATTATTCAGGAGTTAAGATGGCAGAGAAGTAGAGGGATCCAGATTTCCCTTGTCCCTCAAACACAGATGTCTTGAGGTCAGATCACTGGGAACATGCAGGAAATCAATCTTCAGAGTGGCATAAAGATCTCCACAAGTGGAGGGACACAGCTTGGCAGGATAAAGGTACATGTATGTGAACTAGGGGAGATAAAACAGTATAGGCATGGAGGGGAGGGAACTGCTTCTGTGGAGACACAAAAGGGAAAGACAGAGTCTGTGGAATTGCAGTATTGAGTTAGTACAAGAGGAAAACCGCTCCAGACCACAGACTG